CGTCACGGACGCGTCGCTGAGAGGGCGTGGGAGGGAGGTGGGAGGGAGAGACGGACACTGTGTGTGTATGTGGAGAGAGAAAGAGAGGGGGGAGAGGGGGGGGGGGAGGGAGGGAGGGGGGGAGGGAGGGAGAGAGGGGGAGGGAGGGAGGGAGAGAGAGAGAGAGGGGGAGAGAGGGGGAGGGAGGGAGGGAGGGACGGAGAGAGGGGGAGGCGAGAGAGAAAGGGTCCCCCGCGCCGTCGTTGAGCACCGTCCACCAGCCGGCAAACCTTGCGTCGCGGACGAGCGAGTCGATGACGGCGCCGACGCAGTACGGCTGCCCCGGCGCCGCCACCACCTGCGCCACCACATGCAGGCCCGCCGCCACCCACCCGTAGTAGACGGGCGTGCACCGCACGACCCACTCGAGCGGCCGGCGCCGCACGTGCCGCCGGAAGATGCCCGAGCCGCGGCGCGGCGTGCCGAGGCCGAGGCCCGCCTCGTCAGACGGAAAGGGCGAGAGCAGGCCATCCGGTGTCTCGTCCACGTCGTCCGCGACGCCGCCAAACAGCCGGCCCGTCTCCTCGAGGTCCGCCGACCACCCGACCCACTTGGCCTCGAGCGCGCCGACGTTGACGCGGGAGTCCTCGGTCGGGTCGACCGAGGCACCGATCGGCGCCGAGCGCGGCGATGGCGGGCCCGGCTCAATCATGAAGCGCAAGTGGAGTGAAGGCGGGCGTTTATACCACCGTAGAGTGCCAAAAAAGAAAAATTTCCCCACCAAAAGAAAAACGGTGCTGCAGCGGGGAGAGCGGAGGGTCCGATGCGCTAGATGAATCGAGTTGAGACCGGCGGGCGGGGACACGAATGGGGTCCCTGAACGCTTCCGCAGGCGAAAGGACAAGACGAATTTTTAAACGCTCTGCCGCGCTGCTGGCGCGCGGTTGATCGCGGCGCCGACCCCGCGGCGGCGCCATCTCGCGTGGCGGGACGCGGCGCTGCGTCGGCGGGGCCAAAACAGACGCGCGCGAGCTCGCGGCGCGGCCGCGCGCCGCGGCGGCAAAAACATCACTCATCAGCGTCTACTTCAACTTGACTTGGAGCACTTGGAGTGCAGTTATCAACCTCACATCCAAGGCGGGCGTTTATGTTCCCGGGCATTCACACTATATTCCTGAGATAATTTAGCGATTATATCCATAAGGGATTTCATCCCTTTATGGATTGGAGATTCGTGTTTTTTGGTTCCGGTTTTGGGTAAAACGTATACAGCGAACGCGATGCGGCCTCTACCTAGCTTCCTGCTTCTATGCGCGAGCTACGGCGTGACCGCTATCGTTCATGGCTTCCCCTCCGGGAAGAACGGCCTCGACTACTGCATCGCCGAGGCCGACACCACCAGCGACACGGGCACCCCCTCATTAGCGTAGCCTGATTCGATCGCAAGTACATCGTCGACTCAAAGGCCAGAGTGGACATCGAAACTTCCTGTGCTGTGTTGACCTTTACGCTTGCCTGCACCTTTGCACCCCAGCCACCAGCGCCAAGTTCCGCAGCTGCACTCATCGATTTGGCATACTTCTCTGCGGTATCGACGACCATCTTAAAGAAGTTGGTTTTGTATGCATCGGTAAGTGCCGATGCGTTCGCCTCCGCTCTTTTGAGCATCTCATCGGCGTCTATTATGTCGTAGGGAGATGGAAACGATGCGCCGCTTGGGTACTCGAAGCTGTCGCCTCCCTGGGCGCACCCCTCACACCCGTACAACGCAAACGCTTCCACTTCGACTTTGCCCTTGCCGGTATTCGCCTCGATATTCGCCTCGAAAACAGCACTTGGAGCCTCGAAAACATCACTTGGAGCAAACAGTGTGCCGCGCCGCGCCTTCGGATCGAACTCCGGCGTTGTAATGGAGAAATCGACCTGCATAGGCGAGAAGGTACGTGAGTGGAGTGGCAACTAGTCTACCTACAACAGGATCGGACATCACACTCGCCGGGATCGCAGCCGTGTCGACGACCTAATACACGTGAGCGGAGTGTCAGCCTACCGATGTCACAGAGAGGCTCGGGGAACTATCGGGGGGGACTATCGGGGCTCACCGGGATCGCGGCCGCGTCGGGCACGAACACCGACTCGAGGAGCTCGGAAACGCCGCCAGAGCCGTACGAAGAGAGTGCAAAGGCCGAGCAGCCCAGACCGACCACCACGGTGAGGAAGACGCACAGCGTCTTCGTCGAGCAGAACTTGCCGAAGCGGAAGCCGGAGAGCGTCGAGGTCGGCTCGGTCTCATCCACGGCGGCCTGCAAAGAGAATCCGGCGTAAGTATGCAGGCGGCGAGTCTGTGGTCAACGGCGTGGAGCCGCGGGGCGCCTTGCCGTTGCCACCGACAGACTCGGGCGAGACCGATTCGAACTGCGGCGCGCGCGACGCGCTGTCAAGCAAAGGCGCGGGGCAGTGTGTGTCGTCTGTGGGAGGGCGTGCACCGAGGACTCCTTCTCCTTTCCCTTCTCCTTGCCCTTCTCGTCCTCGTCCTCGTCCTCGTCGATCTCCGCCTCGACGTTCGTCTCGACGTCGTCGAGCAGATCGTACTTGTTGGAGACCTTCGTGGACTTGACCTCGCCCTTGCGCTCCGTCTTGTTGCGCGAGTTCGAGACGATCCAGTCGGGCTCGCCCTACGCATCGAACGCGCGATGGGGTCAGTCAGTGGGTCCGCAGACGCACGGCACAGAATGCGGCGCTCGCCGCCGTGGCGGCCTTCTCCTCTGGAAACTCCTTGGCCGAGACGGTCCAGCCGTCGTCGCCCTACGCAATGAAAGCGGGGTGGGGTCAGGAGTGGTCGGCAGGCGCACGGCGCAGAAGCAAGGCGCTCGCCGCCAGGGCGGGCTCCGGAAACTCCTTGATCGACGGCAGCGTCTCGCCGCAAACCGCCGCCTGCTTTAGGGCCGTGTCGATCTTGATGACCGGCTTGAGCGCCGGGTCGTTCTTGATGACGCCGGTCTCGTCAACGGAAGCCTCCGCGCCAGTCTTTGCGATGGCGCCGGCGGCCGGGCGCTCAAACTTGGACCAGAAAACGGCGGGCGGGCTCGGCGCGTGGGCGGCGAACATGGCCTTGGCCTTGTCCGAGTCGACCGGGCCCGCGTCAGGCGCCTTTTCCGCGGCCGGGTCCTTCTTGAGGACGTCCTCCGTGCCACACTTTGCCACGGAGATGTTGACGTTCTTGACGCCGCACGCCTGTGGGCGAGGGAGAGTACGCGCAGGCTTTCAGAGACGGGAGAGGGATGATAACGATCCTGGCGAGCGCACGCGCACCTTGGCTCCGGGGAGCGAAGGCTTGGCTCCGGGGAGCGAAGGCGACACCGACGCGGAGATGACGATCGTGATGCGGCCGTCGTCAGCCGGCACGATTCCGACCTTCGCGAAGGACTTCATCGGCGACAACTCGCCCGCGACGTTGCCGCCGCCCGTGTCAATGCCGTCCTTGAGCGGGCTGGGCTCGCTCTTGGGCGGGATGCCGACGGCCTTGGCGCCGGCCGGATCTGGAAACTCCTCTGGAACCTCCTTGGTCGAGACGTTCCAGTCGGCGACGCCCTACGCATCACGCGGGACGGATGAAGGAGTGGGTCGGCAGACGCACGTGCGCAGAATGCCAGGCGCTCGCCGCCGGGGCGGGCTCCTCCACCGGAAACTCCTTGATTGACGCGCCGGACTCGGCCACGGTGACGTCCTCAGCGGGTGCGGTCTTGCCGCTCGCCTGGGGAGAATGGGAGCGTGTTGGGAGGAGATGGTAGCTCTGCGACAAGCGCACACGCACAAGCCTTTGCTCCGAGTAGCGGAGGCGACTCCGGCGCGGAGAAGACGACGACCTTGATGCTGCCGTCTTCGGCCGACACGATGCGGGCCTTCACTTCCGTCTTGTTCTCGGACATGTTGTTGATCGAGTTCACTCGTACCTATGGTATAGGGGGCGGTGGGTGGCGGGTGTGTGATATTCACGGGCGGGGGGGTGGGGGGGCAAATTAAGGTCAAATTTCGTCAATTAAAATTAATTAAGCTCATTGACGAAACTTGATGGGGATAATCTCGGGCAATCTCGGGTGGCGCATCAGAACGAGCGATAGAGGTGCGGAAGTGCCACACCGGTCTCGGATGCGATCTCGGGCAATCTCGGGGCATTAATTATGCTGATTGACGAAACTTGATGGGGACAATCTCGGGCAATCTCGGGGCATTAATTATGTTAATTGACGAAATCTCGGCTCAATCTCGCCAATCTCGGCTAATCTCCTGCTCTGATTGCTGCACATCGTGTTCCGGGCACCAGTGCTGCTTCTCTCTGCTTTGAGAGCGTCTTTGAGGGGGGGAATTGAGTGGAAGGGGGGCTCAAGAGGGCTGCACCTACTCGCAGCGCACGCAGCTTGAGGCCCGGCGCCAAGGAAACCGCGGCACACCCGCCTCGCCCACGTTGTTTTGGATCTGCGAGGGCGCAGGCGGCGGCCAGCGAGCGTCAGCAGCATAAGATGGGACGAGCATAGCGCGGGCTCGTTTTGGGGGTCGCGGGGGCGCATTAGGCATGAAGGCGACCCGCGGCCGCGCGCTCAGCAGCGCTCAGACCGGCAATCCGATTGTGCCAGACTCGATCCTCGGCGGCTCGCGCGGCGGTCGCAGCACGGCGTGCAGCCGGGCACGGGCTCGCTGCAGTGGTGGTTGTGGGGCGAGGCGAGAGGGCCCGCGCGGGGGCAGCTCTCATCTCGCGCTGCGTCGCGCCGGGCGAGGGGCGAGGCGAGAGGCAACCATGGCAAAGGCACCTGCACACCTTCCAAGCTGCACCCCCTTCCAAGCTGCACCCCCTTCCAAGCTGTCCCCTCCACAATCTGTACCCCCAACGTGTCTCGAGGTTCTCGAGGTGGATATCCTTTGGGAGAGTTTTGTTCCTTTGGCCGCGTTGGGTAGCGAGGATTGGTGTGTGTGTGTGTGTGTCACTCACTCACTACCCCCAGCTTCGCGAAGGCGACGCACCATTTTTTGAGTCCTTGTGAGTACTGTGAGTGAGTGAGTGTGTGTCACTCACTCACCATTCCACGACGGGGCACCCAGTGAGGGAGGGCGAGACGATCGAGGGGTCCCGTACCATGCGGAATCGACCCTATCCAGTGCTCAAGTGCTCAAGGGCACCCATCATGATACGCTCGGAAAAAATTCGCGCTCACCACATTCAGCACGAGGCTGCGAGCGGGGCGGGGTGCGCGCTGTGCCTCGGGAGGTACAACACAGTAACCGAAAAAGAATTTTGAAATCAAACTCTCACAAAATGAGCACAGACATGCTACACTGCTGAACAATGCGTTAGTAGAGTACAACGGTCATGAAACATGTGGGCGATAGATCTGGCGGTCGGAGTTGACCGGTGGAAACTGGAACAGAGAGCGAGAGCCGAGAGCGAGCGCGAGCGAGCGAGCGTACCTACATGCCCTCCTCGTCACGAGAGTCCTTGTGGCCAAGCCAGGGCCGCGCCGCCGTCCCCACACGCGCTGGACGTGCCGGCACTTTGCGCGCCCTGCGTCGTCGTCCCCACGCAACAGCGCGCGTTTCGCTGCCCGCTCACCGCTTGGCCGATCGCGCCATCGAAGCCATCGACGAGACCGCCAACGTCGCCATAAAGGCGCCCGCAAGCTTAACGAGCGCCGACGAGCCACCGCCCTCTCCCCCGCTTTCTGGAGCCGGGCCGAGGAAGTGGCTTGCTCCGGCATCGCCCGCCCCGGCCTCCTCCTCCATCTCCGCGTCCGCAACCGCGCACTCAGCCGATCCGGCCTCGAGTTCGTACCCAATGTCGAACCACAAGGAAGAGATCTCCTCCAGCGTCCCTTCGGACGCGATGCTCGGCTTGCGGCAGACGCCGGGTCGATCCGAGCCGGCCGAGACACCGTCCCCTGCCCCTCCCGGCGAGGGCGGCGGCGGCGGGACGACGGAGAAGTGGTCCGTCGCAAAGAGCTGCAGTGGCCGCCCGTTGGGGAGGCAGAAGCGCTTGGGCGGGCTCGACATGGCGATGAGCTGCTCGGTCACGTCGAGAGGCACGCCGCCGAACGGGTCTGGCGGCCGCTTGGCACCGCCGCCGCCGCCGCCGCCGCCGCAAGGCCTGCAATCGCTGCCCGTGGCGCCCACCACGAGGGAACGCAGGTCCGGCTCCGCCTCCTCGCGCGCCGCGCCGAAGGACGGGCCCGCCGCTGCCGCCGCCCCCGGCGAGACGGCCGCCCCCGTGGCTCCCCCCGCCGAGGAGGAGGAGGAGGAGGAGCAGGGGGAGGCGTGGGGGGCGAGCGAGGTCGCTTCCGGCGGGGGCGGCAGCCTCGCGGCCGCCGCCGCGGCGGCGGGCGGCGGCAGCGGGGGCGGCGCCGGAGTGGGGAGGGGTGTGGCCGCGATGCCGCCGAGGGGAGGCAGCGCGGGCGGCATGCCGGACTTAGCCCACGGCGGCTCGGAGGGCGCGGCGAGGGGCGCCACCGGCGCGGCGCCCGGCGCGTGCAGGAAGAGCTCGACGAGCCCCACAAAGGCGCGGCCCTCGTGCTGGACGAGCATCGCTCCGCGGCAGTCGAAGAGCGCGTAGGCGGCGGCGGCGCGGTCGTATGCGCGCACCGGCCGCGGCGTCGACATCTCGAGCACCTGCTCATAGGAAGTGGCTCGGAAGTGGCTAGGAAGTGGCTCGGAAGTGGCTAGGGAGTGTCGAGGAAGTGTCTAGGAAGTGTCCTCATCTCGAGCACCTCGTCCGGCGCACACGCGCGGTAGAGCTCGCCAAAGAGGCGCCGGACCAGGTGGCAGTCTTCCTGGTGCACGAAGAGCGAGTTGATCTCCATGGAGCCGGACTGCCACGTCGCGTCCATCTCGCGCACAGCGGCGAAGGAGGCCTCGAAGGCGGCGTTGGCGTAGAAGCGGGCCTCGCCGTCGCGGCGCGAGCGCACGTTCACGAAGCCCGCCGAGGAGCTGGTCAGCTTCTCCTCGAAAAAGGACGGCAGGTCGTCGTCGTTGTCCCCGAGCGCTGGGAGTGGTTCGGTGGCCTGCGGGCGGGTCGAGGAGGCCGAGGGCGAGGAAGTGACGGTGAGTTGGGGCACCGACGCGCCCTCGTCGTGGGCGGGGTTCCGCTGGGGGAGAGATGGCCAGGATGGCCCGCGGCGGGCACCAGCCTGCCCGTGGCGTGAGGTGTGCGGCTCTGCTGCAGGGCTGGCGGTGCTAAACCCTTCTATCGTGCACCTCCGCCATGACGTGGTCGAGCGCAATGTCGTAGTGGTTGCAGAGGCGCGTCACAAACTCGGTGAGCTCGTAGGTGCCGCGCCGCCGCGCCGTCGTCGCGATTGCGCGGAGGACGTACCGAGCCGCCACCGGCGAGGCGCCCGGCGCCAGCACGTACGACAAGGTGTCTGCAAAGGAGGAGGAGGTGGTGCCCGGAACTTGAGCAAGCGCCTGCGTCAGCATGGAGCTCGGCGCGATGTGAAGCAGCATGCCGCCGCCCGGTGCCACGACTCTGCACGGGGCCGAGCTGCTGCTAAAGGCCTTGCGCTTGTCGACGGCCTGAGGCGCTGCTGTGCAGCGCACGCCGAGCCGCGCGCAGCGATCACACTTGCGGCCGCTCTGCGGGTCCCATGGGAGGCCGTCGAGGCAGCACTTGGTTTTGGCGGCCTTGCAGGCCGTGCAGACGCGCGCTCGAGGCGGCATCGCGACTCTGTCGGCGTGCGACCGCCTGATCTCCGGCTTGCGCCTTGCCTGGTCGCTGGCTAATTCTTTTTTGCGCATTGAAATTCCATCCCACATTCGCCCCTTATCCTCTCCAACGCGCATCGATGCCAATAAACGGCACGCACGCGGCAACGAAAGGCCAAGAAGTGAGGACTCCTGACGAACGAAGGCGCGCCCACGATGGGAGACGGTGTTTGTTTGCTGGGTCCTAAAAAAGGTTAGGGTTAGGGTTAGGGTTAGGGGCCACTGTAAAATAAAATGAACTCGGGGGCACGGGACGCGGCACAAACGGGGCACAAACGCCAGGCTACAAAGACGGGGCCACTGTAAAGCGAGCGAAAGCAGGTGCGAGACATCAAGATGGCTGCCGCGCCAGACGATATCTTTGGTCCGTCCCTTCTGGGGGTGTTTGATTTGAGCGGCGTGATGGACGTGTTGGGCGACGCGCGGGAAGATGCATGGGCTGAGCAAATGGCCGGCGTGGCGCGTCGCAACCGGCTGCCGATGCCGACGGATGAAGAAAAGCGGGACGCCGCGCGACTCAAGCGGATGATGGGCGGCTTGATGCTTGAGCGTCTCGGTTTCATGCACGGCTCAGTGCACCACCTGATCGAGAACGTCTTCGCTGAGTGCGTTGAAGCTGGCACGTCTCTGAACGACACGACATTGAACGGCGCGTTCCTGTCTCTGCTCGACACGCACGTCGCCGGACTGCGCTGCACCGCTTCGCACCAAATCCTTGGACTCAATGACGAGACGGCGCGGTTCACGATTTCTCTGCCTTCTGAAGGCGCGATTCAGCTTCCGGGCCCGCCTCCAACTGGCATTGAACGACATCGTTACCCAGGCATCATTGACGCCAACTCCATTGACGCCAACTTTCTCTACCATCTGCGTGAGTTGTACCGCAGACGCTTCCACGTCGCTTGCCCGATGCAGGAGCGCGTGCTTGTAGCGTCCTCGAGTTCCGCCCAGCACGGCACGACTCGAGTGGCGCTCGTGGCCCAGCACTGCCAGCCCGCGCCTCCGAGTTCCGCCGTGCCTGAGGTCAGCCCGGAGGGGTTTGACATCACCTCGGTGCGCCACTTCAACTCGATCATGCGCGGCGTGCGCGTGGACCTCCACTGGCCACGCATGAAGGTGCTGCTACTCGCCTCGAGCCACGACGCCGAAGACGGTGAGCACTCTGGCCTTGAGCGCCTCAGCTCCGAGCTCGTCTCCCACATCGGCCATTTTCTTCTGCACGGCCGGACCGACCTGAGCGGCTACGAGGTCGTCGGCACGTACGCGCTTCCCTGGGAGGAGCGCCCCGAGTACGACATGGTGATGGCGACATACGGCCACGGCATGTGAGATGGCCGATGTGTCCCGTACCTGAGTTCCTACCCCTGTCATACACTCACACTCTGTGGACTGCCCGGGTGCCCCGCGAGGAAGTGTCGAGTGTGGATCGAGAGAGCAGAAGTGTCATGGGCCCCCAAGGTCGTCCGTGGGGTGCATTCTGAGATCCCTTGATCGGGACCCATAGGTTACTATACTTAAAATGAGCGGCATCGCGAGCTCTTTCCACTTTCGAAGAGAGCACTTCCAGTTTCCGACCGAAGACGGCATCGCCGTAAGAATCCGTAAGTTCGCGCTACAAGCTCAAGCAGCTGGCCAGGTAATGCGCAACATAATATTCACTGCCCGTA